ACTTGATGGTAAATATTTTTGTCAGGGTGCCAATAAATGTGAAGGAAAGGCTTTATTTTCCCTTCCCTTTTTACACTGTTGACAATAAAGCCTTAGTACCTTGAAAACAGTTATTAAAAAACCACTCTCAGCTGACACTAAAAAAATATGCAGTGTAGGGGTCATAATTTAGGTGACTACAGGTGGAGAGAGATGGCTTAAAAAGTTCCCAGCAAATTATAATTTCATGAAAATATATTCTTCCCATTCCCAGTTCATCCCTACAGTATTTACTTCTAGGAACTTTGGTCGATGACTGCAAGCAATATGTTTCAAACAACTTACGTTACGATCTCTGAAAGTCAGTCTGAGAATCACATCAGAAGATGTTGCCAGTCCGGCTAAAGAGCACTGGGCAAGGTGGACCAATGGTCCGGTTTAATTTGAATACAAACTGTCTACCGATGATAAGTATGCAGCCCTGCTTCTTCATGTTTGTCGTGAGATTATTATTCCCCAAAATGCTAACAATGCTTGAACAAAGGCCATGGCCTATGTCCCAGAATTTATCAGAAGGGGATTCTCGACCTAACTTTAGATAAAGATTGTCTCTGGTTTCATTTATACATTATCCCTCCAGTGCTGCAAAACAATTCACTCAGTAAGCTATAATACTTTTATGGAATAATGGATGGTCTGTTCCTTAGTAGATATTCATGGTTTACTATTGTTCAGATGTGGCAGGATTTTAAAAACAATGATAGTCTTCTTCAGAAAATGGATGTATTCATGGGTAAAACAAAAATATTTTTCAATGTTATAGTCTGTTATACAGTTCACATATTATAATGTGGCATAACGAAAGCTGTTCGATAATAGCCCAAGGCATCCCAATGACAGGGAAAATATACATGCTCTCATCTGGAAAAAGCTAAGGGGGACTTAAAAGTGTTGTGGTGATCATTAAGCTGTTAAGGGAATCACACAATTGTTAAGTGAATCATGCGGTCATTAAGTTAAATTACATGGAAACCAGCAAAATCTATTGCAAATCATGTTCATGTGACATGGGATGCTGTAACTAGTTGCAAAGTTGAGTCAATTGCCAAGCACCCAAAATGCAGTCATGTGACCTGCAGGGTGTGTGTGTGTGTGTGTGTGTGTGTGTGTGTGTGTGTGTGTACATTTTAGGATGGCCAGAAGTGTTTTAGAGTCCATACTATTAAAACACCAAACAGTTATAAAATGACCAGTCATAATTTGAGACTACCTGTACCATTTTAGTCCATGTGCTATTAGTAGAGAAGTTCCAATCTGATTATTTTTATTTAAAAAGCAATGTAGGAAATTTCATAACCTACATATCCATTTACATTTTATATCACATAGGAAATGTATATACAGCTTCTCTAATTTATGTAATTGTTAATGTAAATTGCCAAAAAGAAACCCCTTCTTTCAAATACGGATATGTCCTGTTTTTATTATTTGACATAAACATTTCTCTGATATAAGCTTTTAAATATATATAGATAGTCCTTGAGCTATCACTGTAATTGAGCCTGCCTATTACGACTGCATGTCATCACGGCAAATTAGCAAAATGGCCTGACTGAATGACTCCGCCCCCTGCTCTCCCTGAGGCAGCTGTTAAACTCTGCCTGATTGGCCCATGCTATATTCCTCCTGATCTCCCTATGGTGAACACATGCTTGCAGGAACACAGCAGTGTGGAATCAGTGGTTGGATGAGCACTGCAGCATCCCTGTGGATGGACTTATGGGCGAATGACTGCAGGGGTACTGCAGCCATCATAACTTTGAAATTGGGCTGTAAGTAGTTTTTGGGGAGTCTGTCATAACCTCGAACAGTCACTAACAGTATATGTTCTGAATCAAAATTAAAGTAATTACAATCAATGACCATAGCATTTACCACATATCTACTTATTACATTACTTTTTGTTATCCCATGCCAAGGCTGTTTATCATCTTTGAAACCCAATGTTCAGCATGCAAGAGATAGAGGTTAACTAACTGGGGAGATCATTAATTCAATTTAATTACAACAGTTGTCATGTCCCTAAAATAATGCTTACAGTTTTGGACTCAAAACAGTAAGCTGTATTAAAATCATAAAATAGTCCAGCAAAGAATGTTCAGGTGAGTGCCTTCCTTTACAAGTCTTTCTTTATAAGACTGGATCTCAATTGTCACTGAGCAAGGAGAAAAGAATGTTTCTGTATTTAAGTTAGGTAAAAATTTCACATAGTGGTTATGTATACATCTTTTCACTGGCAAAATATAAAGATTGGCAGGAAATGTTTATTTCAATATTCCTATTTTTCCTATGCAAATATGAATGTAGTCACATACATACAGTATTTAGGCAATTTATGGAAGTGTGGCACAACATTAATGCTCCCTGATTAAATGGTATTAGGTAATAGCTGTATAGCAGGAAAAAAATCAATTCATTAACTTCCTTTAAGAAACAGCTTCTTCCTATAACCTAAATAATTATTAAAGCCTTATATATCATGCTTCATTCTGGTGATTAAAAGATTAATGTCAGTCTGAATTTTAGAAATATATTCTTGAGCTACCGAAACATTTTAAAAACTATTGTCGTCAAGCAATATTCAATACTGAAACAAGAAGTCAAAAATTATTAAACATTAACCACAAAATAAATACAGTATGAAAATAAAACTTCAGGAGATGCTTAAGCAATACAAAATGGATAAGGAAATGTTTTATCAGTCCTATTGTACAACAGTATCTCAAAGCTGCCCTTACAAAGGTTTTGGAAACTTGAACAAAAATCCTTCTAACAGGACAATGTAGGTGCTTACTTGTTTGATAAGGTTTTGGCTGCACTTCAATGAACATACTCATTAGAATAAGTTCCACTTAGTATAAGAGAATTTAGTCCTAGGTAAAAATACACAGATGACTCTTGTGCATATATTTTTGTCCTTACTATGTAGTAGTTATGTGGAGAAAGATAACAAAAAAGTATAATATTCTCACATCATATAAACACATAGCTTACAATTCTAACAATTCACCTTGACAATATTGGAACATGGTTATATAATTTTTCAGAGGGCAAATATTTGTTCTGGACCAGAATCAAAGTAATTACAGGCAGCCGATAGTCAGCAGAAGTAGTCTATAGTATTGCATTCTAACAACTGCACCGCCGCTGCTAGAATGCAATACTATAGACTACTTCTGCTGACTATCGGCTGCCTGTAATTTGGCAGTTCGAATCTCACCAGGCTCAAAGTTGATTCAGGCTTCCATCCTTCCAAGGTTGGTAAAATGAGAACCCAGATTGTTGGGGGCAATATGCTGACTCTGTAAACCATGTAGAGAAGGCTATGAAACACTGTGAAGCAGTATATAAGTCTAAGTGCTATTACTATTGCTACAGACACTGTGTCAGACCTGAAGCCATACTGGAGCATCTTCAGGGCTGCCACAGAGAGGCTGGTTGGAACTGTAGAAAAGGGAGTGGGGCATAGAGATAGCTGGGGACTTGTAGTCAAAATGAACCAAGGACGTTCCCATCAGGTGCTGGAGGGGCGTGGACTGAGGCCAAGTAGAGTTGGGATAGTGACCTGATTGGACCATGTGACAGATGTGGGGACTGGGGGGGGATTTTGGGGGGGGGTTGATTTTGGGGGAGAAAACCTCAGGTCTTTCAGAGTCAGATGTTCACCAGCTGTGCCAATATGACGTGCCTAATAAATGTGTGCTTTGAGGAAACCCCAGGCCTCAGAGTTTTGATTGAATTGGGTCTGTTACTTGGACTCTGACACACTGACCATAGCATTTACTATTTATACTTCGAAACTAGGAATTGGATGGAATACATGCCTATGGTTTCCTGGTCTTTCTTAAGACCATGTCTATACTGAGCTCACATGTGATCAAAGCAAGTCTTACAACTGATTCCTCAAACTCAGAACAAAGTTTATAGGGCAGGAGTAAGTGGGACAGACTATGACTGGGAGGCTGCAGACTTGATTGCAGATTCAAGTCATAAGGCTTCTGATCCTCCTCTTATTTAAATCTTCTCATTGAACTGAAATTTGAACTATACAGAAATTCATTAAATGAAAACTTGAAGGGAACTAAATTACAGTACTCCTCAACTCACAACCACAATTGTTTCTAAAATTTCAGTTGCTAAGTAAAACAATTGTTAAGTGAATTTTGCCCCATTTTATGACTTTTCTTGCCATACTTGTTAAGTGAATCATTCCAGTTTTTAAGTTAATAACACAGTTTCTGGCTTCTCCATTGACTTTGCTTATTAGAAGGTTGCAAAAAGTGATCACATGACCCTGGGACACTGCAATTGACATAAACACAAAGTATCCAAATTTTGATCACCTGACGATGAGAGTTCTGCAATGGTCGTAAGTGTGAAAAATGATCATAAGTCACTTTTTTCAGTGCTGTTGGAACTTCGAACAATCACTAAACAAATGGTTGTAAGTCAAGGTTGTAAGTTTATTATTACACCTCTATAATAAAAAAAAACTTTATGCCAAACATGGGGAATGGGAATGGTCTGCTGTTCATATTGTAAGATTGATTTACAAGATTTATCTTGACAAGTGTGATATCAAATACTACATCTGTGTAACTTATGAACATATATTTATTGACTGATGTATCATCACTATAAGTGTGCCATCTCAATTCAAAACTCAAGCCAGCTAAGTCTATACAAGAGTGAACAAAAAATCAGAATTTTGTTTCAAATATTTTAAAGAAATATCTGTAGTAAAAGCATAGCATTTCTCAGTTTAAATATATATATAATTTTAATGAAATGATAATATCATTTCATTAATAAACAAAAAAAAACTTACTTTAGCTTTAACATGCAACCCAACTCTTTATTCAGAAATAAATGCATACTGCATTATTTTGGGTTTAGGTCCAAATAGATGTGACAAGATTGTCTTCACTGTAGATTTTCTTGTACTAACAAGAAGGACTTACCTGTGGGCAGGTAAATGGTGACATTGTTGCAAAAATCTGTGAAGCAGCATTCTGTCCTGGTTACATTCTTAGAACTGTGGCAGAAGATCTGTGCCTTCAGCTGCGGTAGGGAAACACATGCCTTTATTACTTCTTGCCGACCATTCGTTAGCATGACAGAAGTCCAACATGCTCCCTCTGTTTCACAAGTGAAGTTTGTTTTTTCACACAATTGGCACACACATGTTAAGCCTGAAATGATAATTAAGTCTTTGGTACACAACAATGCCAAAACAATACACAGAATATTCCCAACCTAGTCCATATTACTTGAGGCTACATGGCACTTGGAGAGATTTGTCTGAAAAAGGAGGAGCAGGGTGAAATCATTCAGATTTTTAAACAGATCTAATAAACAGGTAGTCCTCAACTTACAACAATTCATTTAGTGACCGTTCAAAGTTATAGGCACTGAAAAAACTGACTTATAACTGTTTTTCATACCGTTTTATGACCTTTGCAACATCCCTATGATCATGTGATCAAAATTCAAATACTGATTCATATTTATGATTGTTGCTATGTCCCAAGGTTATGGGATCACCTTTTGTGACCTTCTCAATGACCAAACTCAATGGGAAGCCAGATTCACTTAAAAACCAGGTTATTTATCAACTGCAGTGATTCACTTAACAATTGAGGCGAGAAAGGTCGTAAAATGGTTCAAAACTCACTTAACAAAATGTCTTAGTTAACAACAGAAATTGTGGTCATAAGTCAAGAACTACGTATATTTTAAATAACATGTTTTTATACAGTGCCTTTGAGGGAGATTTATCCTACCACCCAAAATCCTAAATTAAAGCCATGAATCCAAAGCAAGATTTCATCTAGGCCATAGGTATCCTACTTTTAGCTTGCCTGGTCCACTTTGAGCAAAGGGGAATTGTCTTGGGTCTCACATAAAATATATAGTACAGTTAACATATATGAATCACATAATAATGTTAAAAGTTTACAATCTTTTTTTTGTCCTTCAAAAGTTTTTTTTTTTAATTTCTCATCAACACCCACTCTTTCATCAAACCAAACAGCAAGCAGCAAAATACAATTTCAAATCGTGTATTTGATTTTCTTCTCTTTCCGTTCATCTTGTAACATCTTACAGTTAACTTGTGGTTTCTTCCCCTAGCACACAAATTTACGTATATCTTTCAGCCATTGTTTAAATGGTATATGAGTTATCAAAACAGGTATTGAAATAAAAACAACATTCTAGGCAAAGCATTCATTTTTATCACAGATATTTTTCCCAGCAATGACAGTAGTAGTTTCTCCCATTTTAGTATGCCTTCTTTAAACTTCAAAAGTTTACAATCTTTTGAGGCTGTCCAAAGTCACATGCTGCCCACGGGCTGGACATGCCTGATTTAAACCAAAAGATGGAAATGATGAGGAAAGCTACATTGATTTTAAAAGACAATATACAATTAAGCAATCATCAGTCTCTCAAAGTGTTTGAAAGCTCCATCTGCATCAGATCTGCTTCCAATGCCCTAGTTTGTTCTCATACAAAGGACTTTGGAGAGCTGATGGAATCCAAACCATGTATTATTATAAAATTTTATTAGGCAATTATGGCAATAAGCCTCCATACACATATTCAAATCAGCACTGAAGATCCTATCCATAGTCTTAGCATGGGGAATGGAAGGAATTTTAATCCCTTACCTCAAAGGTGCTTTTCAAAAAACAACTGGACTTTCTTGGATTTTTCCTTGAAAATGTTTCTTTAGTTCTGAAGAAGTTTCTTGGATGAGAATTGAAGCAAACATTTTCTTGGGGGGGGGGGGGGAATCAAGAAAACCCAATTGCCTTTGAACAGCATCTTTGGGATAACTATGACCTGGGAATCTCCATAGACCTTTAATCCTGTTGAAATTTCGCAGTCTTGATCTCAATAATCATTGTTGAGAAAATGATCTATGTCTATACATTGCAGACAGATCAGTCTGGTGTGCCTACACTTATTCTACAGTAACACAAGTAGGATGGTCTGTGTTTTTTATGTTTTTTGTTTTGTGAGCCACCTAGAATCAAAAGGTTTAGAAATAACCTTAGAAATAACTCACCCAACTTGTCTTATTTGTTCATTGAACATTTATATACTATCTAATTCCATATTTGTGGCTGGTTAACCTTACAAAAACTCCCATTATTGAATGATATATGTTGAGAAACTTCCTAATATTTGCACTGGTGTATTATACAGAATTTTTTACAAATGCAGAAATAAAAAAGGAAAAAAAGAAAAGGAAGAAAAAAAGCACAAGAAAGAAAAAAAGAAGCAAGGAGCAGAACTGATGTGTGAACATTTCTCTGTATTTCTGCCAAATTGCTAGAATTACATTTTGCATTATGTATTATTTGTATTATGACACAGAATACATCTCTTAAAGTTTACCAAACACAATCATTCCTGCATAGGCACATATCTGAAGATACTACTTCTGCCTGCTCAAAATGTTATTTATTTTTTGTCAGCAAACAGATTCAAAAGTGCTTTTAACTGAACTATTTCAAGCTCAGTCATTTTCAATATATTGCCAATTGTTGTAGGTGCTCTTTTATATTTAAATCACTTTAAAGCATAGACCAATTTTTCCTAAGAGCATATAATTTTCCACAGTTATTTAGTACCACAAAGTTGAGGTATTTCTTGTGTCAAAAGCTTTCTGAAACTATTACTTATGCAGTGCTACAGAAATAACTCTTTTTTCAGTTAGTCATAATTAATTAATAAAATTACTTACAGTTTTTTAACAGCAAGATAAAGCTTTAGAACATGAAGGCATTGCATTTATCAAAAATAGGATTGACCACAAATTGCACCAATGCCCAGTGCTTCTTTCCAGAATTCCCATTAAATATCATGTCCTTTGCTGATACTTTGAAAATATGTTGGGAAATGACTTTCATAAACATCTTAATGTACAATCTTTGGATTGTAGTCATGGAAGTCATAATTTTGCTCCAAGCATTAATGAGGAAGTAGCTTGGGGCATAACACAATTCAGATCCTACAAGTTATTTGTTGCTACAAAGCCAAGGTCTATCTGACTTAAAATACCATAAGTTTCTATGTTTTTCTGATGATTAAATTTCTTAATTATTTTCATTCTGGTTTTATTAGGAAGCAACAGACTTGATGGAAATATCTAATTCAATACCTAAGTACAATGCTATCTGATGCAAATTTTAGAACTCTTTTTGTTTTCTAGCCCAGAGCTGCT